GTTTTGGCGGCGAATAAAAAGCCCCAAACACCGCGTAGCAGAGCGCCAAATCTCTCGAGGCGGCATCTCTGTATCCGAGGCGGCGTCTGCGTACTCGCTAAACACCGGCGCGCATTTGTGACATGCGTCAAAGAAGGCCAATCAGGGACCCAGGATTCGTCCCATGGTTTTACTCCGTGAATCCCTCTGTTGGCAGTTGGGGAATCCTTGGACAACGGCGGACTAAAACTGTAACGTGACGGCACACTTTATGCGTTTGATTGGATCAGAAGGCAAAAAACTCACCCACAAAAAAAGGCGGTTAGCGAATTGGCGTTGAACTTCCGACGATGTTTGATTGGCTCGTCGGCTCCGTTGCCCGCGCTCCGACGTTCGCTATCTTGTGCAATGACTTGCACGTTCCGCGATGTCAGTTGTTCTGCCATTGTGCAGGAGTTCTGACCTTCTAATAATCGACACGTGACTTTCGAAAAGGGTGTATACGCCACCGGGACACCTCTGCATCGTGCGTCGCGTGCCAAGCTACTCCTTGAATGGGTTGCGTGGCATATACGAAACACGGATGTCCCATAGAGTCACTCTATGCAGACGCAAGTAAGCACCCGTAAGCAAATGGCACTATCTGAACTGACCTTCAGTCTAACCATATTATATTTACAATTGAAAAAGAAAAAAACAAAACAACAGAGAGTCTCTTATTTTATCCCTGAGACGACTTGAAGGTAAAAGCCCAAGCGCCGATGAAAACGTGATAGCGAACCTCTGAAGACAGCGCACTCTCTGAGGACGCACTTTTGGCGCCATTTCATTGGTACCTTTCGGTTTGGTGCCTTCCGTATCGCCAACGTGTTTTTGTACTTTCCGTGTCGCCGACGTGTTTTTCGCTTAAGGACTTTGAAGGCCGACTAAACGATGAGACATATAAGGATTTCGCCTTAGAAAGAAAACATTCGTTGCTGTTTTTTGTTTTTGCAGGTATCAAAGGAGCCCGCTTTGAGGGCCATTCTGGCTATGGTGAGGAAACACAAGTCCATCATGCTGGCTTCGGAGGCTTTCACCCGCAAGACCTTCGAGGAACTGCTCTCCGGGAGAGCCATCCTCTTCATGGAGGATACCGTGATGAAGCGGTACATCCCAACCCTCTTTCCCGAGAAGCCCAAAACCGCAGAGTTCTACGCTTCCAAGCAGCGAACCATATCGGCGCAGTTCAGCATGTTGATGCGCAAAGGTCTGGATCCAAGGATTGCGGGTCTTCTTCATGTCAGGTTGGTTGGTGCTCATGCGCGCTTTAACTTTTAGTAAGTTTCTTACCGTTGTGCTTAGCACCTCCTTCATCGAATACGTGGCAAAGACGTTTGTCACATCGCGACTTCCGCTCAAAAGAAAATCAGAAATTTTCATAACAGGTGTATACCACATTATTTGGGACGCTGAAGTGTCATCGACTTAATAGATTTAAGAAAAGACTGAGCGCGCAGGCGAGCTGGTGGAAGCTAATCTGTGTCTGTTCCTTGGACTAAAAGTTTTTCATTTTCTCCTCCACATGCAGTCTCAGGTGTTAAACGACATTATTAGACATGGGGCTTCGATCGCGACTGGGTTTAGCGCGTTTCGTGTCGACCGGTTGAATAAGCAGGGATTTCATTGAAACTACTCTGGAAGTCAGCCACCGCTTGTTTCTGTCAGTTATTTTGAGGAAACGTCTGTTTACTGGTTTACAAAATTTTAAACACGAAGAAGAATCGACTTGGAACTGATAAGAGACCAGCATTCACAAAACAAACTGGAACCAACAGGATATACCAAGTCGCTTTTACTGAAGTGTTTGCTTCATGCGCGAAAGGTTCTCGAATTTCGCTTTCCTATTTTTCAATTTGATGAGACATTCCTTCCTCAGTTTTATTTTTTTCCGAATCATAATACAAGATACGCCCTATTCGCCGTGCTAGATGTTGTGCTGGGGTAAAACGCGGGATATTCTGCTTTCATCATCGAGCTTTTTGTACTGGAGTACAGAACAGAACACCGCCATCCCAGCGCTTCGACACCTCAGCGCCAAAAGTGTTTGTTAGCGCGGCTACGCGTGCCACGGTTTCAAGCTTTGGTAAAATGTTGTTAGCTACATTTTCTCCTTCACGTCACACACACACAAAAAAAAAAAAAAAAAAAAAAACGGCAGTGCCGTACCGCAGGCATGGGGATGGGTCTAGAAGTTATGGAAAACAACACACGAGTGAATGCGAGTGTCGCTGTTGTCGCGGCGTCCCAACTCTTGGCTGTCGAAGCTTCCGTAGACTATGGAACCGAAGAGCGACCCGCAGAACAGGCGCCTGCCGCATCCACCACCGCTTCTGTGACACCGCCAGGGTCGCGGCCGACGACAACGTGACATCTCTACGACGATAGAATTTTTTTGTTTTTAATTTCTAGGCTAGGTGGCGCAAGCTACCCCCCATTATAAAGAGTACACCCGTTAGCATCCATCCACCCAGCAGGCGGAAATCGAGGGGCCACTTTTTAGGACGCGGTCATAGAGATAAGTGAACGCAGTACACACACCAGTCTTAGACGCGTTTCAGGCACCATAGCTGTCTTACAACGTATGTAAAAAACAACGAATTCGTTTCTCTAGGTGTCGTTGGCTGCACGAGTCCGGTCTTCTCGACAAGAAGCGCAGGGACCTGCAGCCCCACTCTTGGTTCAACGGGCGGCAAGCAGCTTCGTCGGTTCACGACCTGAACATCGACGACATGGTCGCTCTCTTCTACATGGCTCTCCTGGGCCTGGTCGTGGCCACGGTCGTTTTCTTCCTGGAGATTGTCGCGTACAAGTTCTTCGAGAAAACAGATCGCTCTCAGCGTCGTGCAACGAGTTCATAAAGGATGTTCACAATACCTGAATTCCTGGCTGCCTTGCAGTTGCTCCGGCTACTTATACAACCTTCGTGTAAACTGAAGAAAGAATAGACCATCTTCAAAAGTCCAAGCCCCCCAAAGCTGCTCCAGGGGCCTATCTATTATTGTCAATCTGTGTAGGTGTTACAAATTTATTGGATGGGCTTTAGGGGGCGTATGATTCGTGTAAAAATTTCGGGGGGGGGGGGGGGGGGGGGGGGGTTACAAAACACTGGATGCATCGCCAGATGGTGGATGAATGAAGAAAGCAAAGTTGTTATATCTTTGCAATCGCCGGTAACTAGTGCCATCTAGCTTTTCGGCTTGTGCTTAGGGTTCGTTTGGCGCGATTGGGTACGAGGGCTGGAGAATCATTGTTACGTTGTATTCAAATAAGAGCCGTTCAAGCAAGAGCTAACTATGTCTCTTTTTCCTGACCGAAACCCACCGCTCCTGCACAAAATGTTTTTTTTTCTTTTATTATTGATCTCGGTTTAGACACAAACCATAGCACAACAGCCAGCAGGAACTTGTAACGGGCGTACAAAATAGTTTAAATAAATTTGATAGTCACCTGTTAAGACGTTCTTGGTTCTTCCCTAATTCCGTGTACAATGCTCACAGCAATCGGGTGGCGCCACGTGTGAATAAACAGTTGTTGAATGCATTTTAAATTGAATTGAATTGAATTGAAGTTCATTTGACGTATGAAATGTCGGGGAGGGAGGAGCAAAATGTTGCCGAAGCTACCTGACGAGGCTCCATTCCCCTCTTCGGCGCTACACCAGTCGCAGCAGCAGTGTAGAAGTCATACATAAAAAATTCAAGCTGAAAATTTTTTCACAGAGACTGTTTTGACATAAATTAAACACAAACAAAACACAAATTAAACGCAGACTAAACACAAACCAGACACAAACTGGGTTGATTTGCCTTAAATCGATTCATAAATGAAAGCATAAAATAGTAATCATCTGAATCTGGAGAGCATGAAGCAGTGGCCCAATATTTAAGCCGAGAGTGTAAAAATGTACACTTTCATTTCCTTTTTAAAGCTCCGCAAAAAAGAACGGCACTTTATAAAATCTAATACTTCTGAAAATTGGTTCAAATATTCCAGAATCAAAAAACTTAATTTCTGTGACCCGTAATTTGTGCGAATTCTCTCCTGAAAGAATAACTCATGCCGTAAATTATATGTAGTAATTTTCTTGGGATATATATATATCTAGTCACTTTCACTCACTTTCAACTGAAACGCATGCAATATTGTCCGTTAACAATAAGCACACGTTTTCCAACTTTATTTTTTAAAAGGTGAAAAAACAACAACTAAAAATTGAAACTTTGGATTGGGCTAGTTGGTTCATTGTAGACTCAAAAACTAAAAAGCGCAAAAAAAACAAAAAACAAAAAAAAACACGGACGCAGAAGCGACACGCTGAACACGAACTGGCGCTCACTTTCAACTGATTTAATCAAGGCAAACCACCCAGCACACATGCGTGAACTCTCTTCCCCATCACGCCAACCGCATCTGATAAAAGCAACCCATAAACACAAACAGATGACAATGATTTACACATTCGTATCAAAACCATCTGGAAAAAAAACTTCTTAGTCATTTAGTAAAATCGAAGGCGTGCTGACGCAGTTGTCCCCAGAGGACTTGATAAAATACGCTTCAACGATTTCCCTCTCATACCTGTAGTAAATGACTGCCACCCGTAAAATAAAAATAAAAAATAAAAAGCGCAGGGCCTACGTGGGCCTTCATAAAAGACGAGGTCTAACATGGCGAAGTGGTGAGGCGAGGACGGGCGGGAGCGCCCCGAGAGAGAAGACACGTCAGGTAGGGTCAAGGTCCAAACACGTACTGATTTATATGACGGTAAATAAACATGAAGGTCAAGCGCCACGGGGACGCGACCCTGACAACACGGGCGCAATGGTGGACAGTGGCGCCATCTAAGTAGTGTATATAGAACTTGCGAAAAATTTAAATAGTTGCTCTTTTAATACATTTTGTTAATTCTTACAAGGGATAACACCCGCACTGCACGCAGTGTACTGCAAGGTGTCCCCCCCCCACGCTTTGGGAACCATTAGACGGTGTTCACGCGCCCTTTCGTTAACGTTTCCGTCTAGTGACCATAGAACACATTTTTGGCAGCTTGTATGGAGCGGAGAAAACAACATTGACATCATACTTATTTTTTTAAGGCACGAGGCACGTGGCATTTGTTCAAAGTTTTGTTTGTCTTCTTGCAGTGTATTGACACAAAAGATACGCAACGAAAAATATCTAGACTGATGTTATAATAAAGTATTCCTTCGATCTTATATCTTAGCCAGGCTCGTTTTTTCGTGCTGCTACTGTACGTGCGATCGAAAGACACTTCGAAGATAACATCACAACGACCCCAGACCTTCTTTTGTTTCTCTCAAAGTCGTGCCACGTTTTTATCTTAAAGTCACGGGTGAATGCGAGTCAATTTACTGTCCGTTACCGGACATGAATAACGGACAAACAAACCTCCAAAAACAGATTTTTTTATAATTATTATTTATTAAAGAAATAAGTTCAACAACACGTGTTCTTCCTACGTCATGTCACGTCGAGCTTATACACGAACACAACCCTCTAACTCTTGCCCGCCGGGTCAGGGCGAGCTGGTCGTTGGGGGAGGGAGGGTTTAAGGGGACAGACTCACGTAATTTGGTAGAGGGCAGGGTGGTCTCTACAAAAGGGCCATCGGCTGGGTATTCTTCAGGAAAGGGTTTGTGCAATAAGGCTAAGTGTGTATGTGTTGTCTGAATTTGTGTCCAAGCTGTGGCCTCCTCTCCGGTCAACGTCTTGGGATCCTCGATTGGATCACTGCCCCTGCCCGTTTCCATCTGCATGAGCATCGTACCGGCCTGAGATCGAGCGACGCGTGACGCACGTCGAGGTTCCTGCGTGACGCACGTTAAAGGCCCTAGGGCTAACAGTGGTACTGCACCGGCTAAATTTATAGCCACCTACAGCAGACATCAGAGGTCCATTTGGGCTGACTAACGTCACGCTTTCTAAACAATCATCAGACAACACAATTATTACCAGTCCCGGTGATTAACCTTGACGGTACCTACCGCCTATACTCTTTGATCTAGAACTACCGGGCTTACTACATAAAAATTTGTCCTCGAGTCTATCTCCGCTCCATCCAGAAGGCGAGCGACTCGAGCACGAAGGCCATCAGAGCGAAGCTAACCGAGAGCCCCCAGAGGATGAAGACAGCGCTCAGGTCCTGGAAGAGCAGAGGCTTGTAGGACATTTCGCCTCCCGCGTTCTCCTCCTGCATCATGCGGCACCGCTCCCACTCCACCAGGCCGTCGGCGTACCATTTGGTAGCGAGGCCGGAGTCGATGACCGCTTGCACCCTGGACGACAAGAACGGAGACAACGTACATGCCTTACGAATCGCATACACCAATATGCCGTCTATACAAAACGAGCCCGCGTTTGCCCACACCAAGCACTGCGCATGAGCGGAAAGCAGATTCCCGCGTGAGGAAGCGTCCGCGCGTATGCGCAGTATCGACAGCAGCGCCAAACGCAACGGAGTGTCGTCAAGAAAAAAAAAAAAAAATGTCAGCGAGTTGATTTTTTTGTAGAATGTTTCACTTTCTCATTATCTCTGCGCACACTGCGTATAGGTCACGTCTGGATGGCTTAGCCTTCAGGGACTCTAAAAGACAAGAGCCTTGGGCATCTCACCCTAGGTCAATCCTGCGGGAGATGTGGTGCGCCAGCTTCCGAGAGTAGGCCATGGCGCAGAAGCGGGCAAAGATGAGTTCGGGAGCCACGTACAGGCTTCCGGTACGGCCGCACTGCTTCGACAGAAGGTAGAGCATGGAGTCCCTGTCATTGACGTACACGGCGCGACCGCTGTAGACCTGCGCCACGGCCGCGGGACTCTGCATCTCGGACAGCGGGACGAAGCCGCCGTGCTTCTGCGCCATCCGGCTCAGCATGCGCAGCGACTCCTTCTCGGAGGTCTGCACAAACCAAAGTCCCAAACAGCGTTGCGCCCGTTACCAAAAATAAGTAACGAAATAGTGTTACTCATTAGCCTAAAAAAATAAGATCGGTACACCTAAGCACTTCGTGGTGGTGGTGGTGGTGGTGGTGGTGTTTGCCTGACGTGAGGTTTTTCTCACTGGCTGTGGAAAAGTTTCACGGGCTAAGCACTTCGTATGAGTTGTGATTGTGAATGCGAAAGCATGCAAGCCGCTCGACCGCTCCCTTTTTCGTCTGCTGCGTACTTTTCGTCGCCCGTCGGTGCGTGTGCTCCCCTGGTGACCTTGGACGCTCCGCACTTATGGACACGCAGCGCCATGGGGTGAGCGGTCGTGGAAACTGACGAGCGCAGCGACCAGTGGGAGCCCCGTCGACGCGCACCAGCCAATCGAACCGAAGGAAACTAGATGCCGTTTTTGCGCTTTAAACTGATGACGTCAGCTCGCTCCATGAGACAGTTAATGTTTTTGCATTAATAGCTAACGCATTACGGAGCTCCGTTACCATTTTGAAAATGTAACGAAATACCGGTGTCGTTACTTGCCATGACTAACGGACGCTAGTTTTACGTTAGTTTGCAATGGGAAGGAGCTGAGCTAGTTGGTTGTACATACTTAGATTGTGGAAACCAGCTGAACTTACAGAAAAGGGTGAGGAGAGAAAGGAGAAAGGCATCCGATCGCTGGACTACCAACTATTTATTAACCCTCGGCTTCTTCTTCTACTGGTCTGGTGGCTGTCCTTTTCACGTCTTCTTCTTTTTCTTTTTTCTTGATCTTCCTCTATCTTCATGGGCATTTTCGTGTCGCAGGAACTTCTTTTCACTTGTTTGTAGGGCAATGGATAGTGAACTGACGCAGTTGTCTTTTTGTTGTTCTATGGCTAAGGCCTCAAGTAGTACTCGGGCGAACCGGTCTTTGTGGTGAGCTAGGATGCTTTATTACCGTTTCGAGCTACATCGGGCAAACGGGACGTTGTATAAATGACCGAACGCGAGAACATGCCGCAAACTTAAGAAACCTGGCTGCACCTGGACATCTAGCAGCTCATTGTAGAGAATGCATGTGTGAGGCTAAGCTCGAAACGGTTAGCATCCTAGCTCACCACAAAGACCGGTTCGCCCGGGAACTACTTGAGGCCTTAGCCATAGAACAACAAAAAGACAACTGCGTCAGTTCACCATCCATTGCCAGCTACAAACAAGTGGAAAGAAGTTCCTGCGACACGATAATGCCCATGAAGATAGAGGAAGATCAAGAAAAAAGAAAAAGAAGAAGACGTGAAAAGGACAGCCACCAGACCAGTAGAAGAAGAAGACGAGGGTTAATAAATAGCTGGTAGTCCAGCGATCGGATGCCTTTTCTCCTTTCTCTCCTCACCCTTTTCTGTAAGTTCAGCTGGTTTCCACAATCTAAGTACGTTAGTTTGTCGTTTCTTTGTGTTTCACTCTTAAGATTTGACAGCTGTTTATAATAAACCGACTCTATAAACTTCGACAAGAATACACTTGTTCAGAGTGATTATTTATTTATTTGTACTCTGCAGCGCCGGTGCATTATAGCAGAGGAGTGGGGGACAGATCACATTTATACGTTGGAAACTCACACAAAACAGCACAAGCCAGCAACCAACAATAAAAATAAACAAATCAAAACAACACACAATAATAAAATCTAAAAATTTCAAAAACGCCAAGAATACCAAGGCAATTCACATTGCATTGATCAGGTTAATAAAAGATTCACTGTCGCAGGATATGAAATGTATATCCTCGAACACGTGAAGTTTCGCGAGCGCTATTCCGAGAACTAAACCTTGCCCATAGCACCTGCCTGGAAAGAAGAAACCGCTATGAAAAGAACGCCACGTAACGGACGCAAAATAGACCTCTTCATGTAATCAAAGTTAAGCCAGTATAAAACAAACGTTATTTTATTCTGTTACAAACCATGCAACGTCGCATTTTCAATTAACGACACGTCAGAACCCGGCCACCGCTGACAGACTTGCTTTGGTTCAAAGCATGAAAACGACTACACCAAGGACGCTTAGGGGTTCCGCACTGCGATAATCTCGCGCCTTTTGGGCCCGGTCACGTCCCCTCGAGCTGGTGAACCGAAACGAGGAGGAGAGAAGCGAGGCCACTTCCCCTCATTCTCAAATTCTCCCGGAGGACAATGACGTCAAAGACCTCGCTTGATCGCGCCCTTCTTTTCCAAAAGTAATGGGATCCGTTTGAGATATCGATGTATGAGTGATGCTTTTGGAGTTCGTAGTGTCCCGTTCAACGCTTCTGCGGCCTTATTTTTGCGAAATCCAAATTTCGGTTCAGTATCCCTTTAACTGCAGGGATCCGTTCTAAGCGGTATTTGCGCAAAGTGCAAAAATCGTTGCATCGCCCCTTTAACACCGCAGCTTGAAATGCCAATGAAACGTTTAACCCCCAAAAGGAAAACGAAGCGCTAGATCTATTAAATATTTTCCAATATTCTTGTAAACCAACTTGCCTCCTCCAAGACGTTAAATTGTACAGCCGAAGGCTCTCGTTAAATCTCCAACTTTGTTGTCCGGGTAGCATTTATACTTTCTGGGACTGATAACGCAAGCTCAACAGGCTTGCAAAGACGGTGCGACCGGAAGTCGCTTTAGAGACAAGCGGCAGTTCGTGTTTGTAAACAGCAAAAAGGTATATACGACGCTCATCCAAATCGAAACGGGCAGGGGTGGCGACTGAAGCCAGGATCCCTGGGTTCTACATCGCGAGCTTCGCTCTACATGCTCGAAGCTGGTGTGACCTTTTACGTGAAATCTCGTTCCCAGCCGCCTAATAGGCCTATCCGTTATGGACGACGAAAAGATAATAAAAAGTTTCAACCTGCAAAAAGAAAAAAAAAATAGAGGGGAGGCAAAACGAAAATGTGTGACGGTTACGCTTATGTCCTAAATGCCTTCTACTGGCGTGGCGACGGCAAAACAAAGTTTTCGCCCATAATGGAACTGACGACAATTCAAGATGGCGGCGCCCTTGTAAAAAAGGTCTACACTACGTTCACCCGAGACTAGTAGCTCCGCCTTCAACGCGATCTAACTGGCTTCCACATTGCTTTGGTTGCGCGTGCCTGCGCGTTTACACTTGTGTTAGCTAAGGGCAGAAAACTCGCCTTGAAGGCGGAGCTTCTAGTTTGCTTGAAGGGGTACGGAAACGAAATGTTTGCTCTTATTTTTTTTGTTTAGATATGGTCTAAGTTGTGGCGGCAGCCTAAAACACTAGTCTAGACTATTGTTTCTACGCTGTTGAAGTTTAAAACGAATCAACAGTGTTCAAGATTGCCCCTGGTGGCGGTCTGTGAAACTCCGTTGAAATGCTGCCACATCATCGGCCTAATACAGCACCCAGTGGATTTGTAGTGATCAGCCGGCGCGAGAAGAAGAGGAAGAGGACAAGCAGCACGAGACAACTTTGGAAACGACGTTCGTCCCAGCTTCGCCACTCAGCCGCTTAACGCTTTTTAGATGCATATATGTATATATTAAATATTTATGTATTCCACACGCTACATATTGGTGACCCGATCTAAACGACATCAGCCTCCTGCAAGCTGCCTATAATCAGCTGTGTTCATGGTGAGCTACTCAACACATTCATTTTTTCACAATGGACGTTCGCAACGACGTGGATTCTTCTGAAACGCCCACCGCGGTACAGGCGACGGCAGCCCCGACCAAGTTTCCAGAATTTTGGTCTTAGGATTCAGAACTATGGTTTCTAACTGCCGAGTCGATATTTCGCAAACATCGCATCACATCCTCTCTTACCAAGTTTGACTACGTGGTTGCCGCTCTTTCCCAGTCAACCGCAGCCATCGTCCGTGACATCTTGCGCTCTCCGCCTGAAGAACAGCCCTACGAGACGTTACGTACGGAACTCGTGCGGCGTACGACGGATTCTGAGCCTCGACGGATACAGCAGCTGCTTACAGCCGAAGAGTTGGGAGACAGAAAACCCACAGAACTTCTCCGACGAATGGAGCAACTTCTCGGTGATAAGGCAGGGACTATGGACACGTCAATCTTGCGAGAACTTTTTCTCCAACGTCTGCCGCAGCAAATTAGGCTCGTCCTGACCACTACCACCACGGAGTCCGTCACGACACTGGCTCGCATGGCAGACCAGATGATGGACGTCTACTCACCTGGAATATCATCCGTCCATTCACAGACGATCAACCCGACGTCACGCCTATCTGTGGCTGATCACAACGCCCAGCCACAAGCCCCGGATCTCCTGGCAGCCTATGTGCGCATGGAACAGAAGATCGACGACCTCAGCAGACAGTTTCGAAACATTCAACAACGACCCTCAAGATCATCGCGCAGTACCGAAGTCACTACTGCCAACCGTCGAGTAAATGTCGACAACCGAACCACCACCTCGTCGAGTGCCTCTACTCAGCAACAGCAGTGCTGGTATCACCTCCGTTATGGGAACGCTGCTCGCCAGTGCCGACAGCCATGTTCCTTTTCGGAAAACGGGATGGGCACTCGCTGAAGGCGGCAAACATCGAGAGCCCTACATCATCAAACCGCCTGTTTTACGTGACCGATCGTTCAACCAAAGTTCGCTATTTAGTAGACACTGGCGCCGAAGTCAGTGTAGTCCCTCCTACATCAGAGGATCGCCGATATCGACAAGAAACTCCCCCGCTTCAAGCGGTGAATGGATCCACAATAAAAGCCTATGGAGAAAAGTCACTGACTTTGAACATCGGTCTCCAGCGGACATTTCGTTGGATCTTCATGATCGCTGACGTGAGGCAGGCCATCATCGGGGCGGACTTCTTAAGACGATTCGGTCTCACCGTCGATTTACGGCACTATCAACTCATCGATACCGAGACGCAACTTCGCGTCCAAGTGTTGGTATCCAAGACACCACCTCTGAGTCCTTTTCTTCCACGTGCGGAGACCGACTCAAAGTGGAAAAGCATCGCGGACGAGTTTCCCTCTGTGTTCGGGCCAAACACGGTTCAACGGTCGGTTGAACACAATATTACCCACCACATTAAGACAACAGGCCCTCCTGTCTTTGCACGCCCACGTCGCCTACCACCAGAACGACTTCAGATTGCCATCACGAGGGATCTTCGAGTCCCTGGTCTTCAGCTCTACACATGGTGCCAAAAAAGGGGGGCGACTGGCGACCATGTGGGGATTATCGGGCCCTCAACCAAGCTACGGTTCCCGACCGTTACCCTATACCCCATCTTCAAGACTTTGGTGGATTACTTCAGGGTGCTACGATCTTCAGTAAAATAGACCTCGTCAAAGCATACCACCAGATTCCCATCGAACCCGAAGACATTCCAAAGACTGCAGTCACAACTCCGTTCGGATTGTACGAGTTCGTGCGAATGCCTTTCGGCCTTCGCAACGCAGCTCAAACCTTCCAGCGGTTCATAGACCAAGTGCTGCGTGGGATGTCCTTCTGCTTCGCATATCTGGACGACATCCTGATTTTCAGCACCACGCCTGAAGAGCATGCCAGCCACCTCCGGCAACTGTTCACACGACTGGCAACATATGGCCTGGTTGTAAATGCGACGAAGTGCGAGTTCGGCGTCAAGGAGCTAGATTTTCTTGGACATCACGTAGATTCTCGGGGAATCCAACCGCTTCCTGACAAGGTGGCAGTAATTCGCAGTTTCCCCCAACCACCAACAGCAACAAAACTTCGAGAGTTTCTTGGACTCGTCAACTTTTATCGTCGGTTTATCCCTCACTGCGCCCATATGTCCCAACCGCTATACGACCTCCTCCAAAACCCAAAGATGAAGGCAACACCGCTGCAATGGACGCAGAAAGCGGAGGACGCCTTTAGAGCAGTGAGAGAGGCCATCGCAAATGTCACCATGTTGATGCACCCTAGAAGTGACGTGCCCATTTCTCTTATCGTCGACGCCTCAGACACCGCCGTCGGGGCTGTCCTCCAACAACTGGTTGGGAACACCTGGCATCCTCTCGCATTTTTTTCGAAGGGTTTAAGTGCCACTGAAGCTCGCTACAGCACATTTGGTCGAGAGCTCCTTGCTATTTACCTCGCCATACGACATTTTCGACACTTCATCGAGGGCCGCCAATTTTATGTTCTCACTGATCATAAACCTCTCACGTACGCACTAACATCAAACAGCGCGGCACATACGCCTCGAGAAGTACGACACCTTCTCTATATATCAGAATTTACTACTGATATTCGATTCGTGAAAGGTTCTGACAACACCGCAGCCGATGCACTTTCCAGGCTAGGTGTCAACCTCTGCATCTCCGACTGTCCCGAGATATCCTACACGGAACTTGCGGCAGCCCAACGAGAAGACACAGAACTCCAACGCCTACGAACATCATCTAAAACACTCACCTTCGAGGACATCCAGATGCATGGTTCTTCTGTCACTGTGGCCTGCGAAATGTCCACTGGCCGTCCCCGCCCGTTTGTACCCCTAGCATTCCGTCGCAAGGTTTTTGAGGCTGTCCACTCACTGTCTCATCCCGGAATTCGTGCTACACAACGACTCGTGGGATCTCGGTTCGTTTGGCCACGCATGAATACAGAAGTGCGAGAGTGGACAAGAACATGCATCCAATGTCAACGAAGCAAGGTTCAACGCCATACTGTGACCCCGCTGACCGCCTTCAACCCTCCTGACGCGCGATTCATCCACATTCATGTCGATATTGTCGGCCCGCTTCCCCCATCGCACGACTGCCGTTACCTGTTGACCTGCGTTGACAGGTTTACTCGATGGCCAGAAGTGGCCCCCATGAAAGACATAACAGCACAGACTGTCGCCCGCACGCTCGTCGAAATGTGGATAAGCCGGTTTGGCGTACCCGAGACCATTACAACAGATCGCGGACGACAATTCGAATCGCTACTGTTTCAGAATCTGTCTCAGCTCTTGGGCACACACCACATACACACTACCGCCTACCATCCGATGTCCAACGGAATGGTCGAACGTTTCCACCGGCAATTGAAAGCGGCCATCAAAGCCCAAGATAAAACACTTTCGTGGACAGAGACCCTTCCCTTGGTTATGCTCGGCATTCGGACAGCGTTCAAGAGCGATCTGAACTGCACCGCAGCGGAGTTGGTGTATGGGACGTCCCTTCGCATCCCGGGAGAGTTCTTTCACAAAGCCAGCAATCCCGCAATTGCCAGCGCGGAAGATTATGTTCATCGGTTGCGGCTCCTGATGCAGGACTTGCGGCCTGTGCCTTCACGAGTTCCTTCCACACGGAGCACCTTTATCAGCACAGACCTCGCAAAGTGTAAACACGTTTTTCTTCGAAACGAAGGCGTCAAAACGCCACTCCAACCTCCGTATGAAGGTCCGTTCCCCGTTATACACAGAGATACGAAGACGTTCACGATCCTTGTTAAGAACAAAGAACAAGTGGTAGCTATCGACCGAGTCAAGCCCGCCCACCTGGACTCAACCGCAACACCGCCTTTCCCACCTCCTTCTCATCCGACCTCGACCAGGCGTCCCCAGAAAAACTATGCGTGACACGGTTGCTCTTAGCGCTAAAAAGAAAACGCTTGGTCACTGCGCCTCCATGCTAGGGGGGGAATATTGTAGTGATCAGCCGGCGCGAGAAGAAGAGGAAGAGGACAAGCAGCACGAGACAACTTTGGAAACGACGTTCGTCCCAGCTTCGCCACTCAGCCGCTTAACGCTTTTTAGATGTATATATGTATATATTAAATATTTATGTAGTCCACACACTACAGATTCCTTAAATACACAACTTACAGGTGTCGCCATTGCTGGGTACTGACGGTTATTACTACTCCTGCTTCTGCGGCGTGAAACTAACACGGTGAACCGAACGCTTCTGGCACATAAATTACCAGCATGGCCGCGAATGACGTTACGGTCAAGCTACGTATAAACCATAGGGCGTATAGTCCTCAGATATTACTACGAACCGAGGTTGTCACACGTTGACGCCACCAAGCGGCAACGCTCGCAACTACAGTACCCTTGGCCGTGCAGAGGCCCTTGACGTCACGAGCGCGATACGCATTGCGCTTCTCGCTGGCCGATCGTGAAGCGAGATCTCCCAATTTTTCATGGGAGGAGACTCACCCGGATGTAGAACTCGTACCCGGTGTCCTTCCAGATCATCGGGCGAATCTTGGGATGGAGCACGACATCGTCGATAGAGCTGAAGCGAGGGGGCTCCGTCTTAATGGACATGCAGGCCTTCATGTGTCCTGCGAAGGCGTTGGTGAGCACCAGCACCGTCAACCACCAGGTGGCCATCATGAGGCGCCCTGGAGTCGTCCGAATCGCCGCATCCAACCCTGAACCAGAGAATGGGGACAATATAACTTAGAGACAAGCAGTCTTGGGTAAGTTACTTTTAAAAAGTAATTCGTTACAGTTACAGTTACTTTCAGAAAAAAGTAGTGAAGTTACCGTTACAGTTACCGCAACAAAAGAGTAACTCGTTACAGTTACAGTTACTTTTAAAAAGTAACGACGTTACTTTTCAGTTACTTTTGTATAACAAAAAAAAATTTAGGAAAAACTAGAAAACGCTTTTCACCAAGTTCTATTGCATAAAATTAAAAAGTATGCTTCTTACTTTATATTGTAACTTAGCAGCAGTTGCTTCTCGAAATTAGTGTCTTCCGCCGAATTCATAGATCCCACTTCACTCGAACTTAACTTCCAACGCCCTTGAGTGGGTGTCATTACGTTTCATAAATCCCCCTTCACTCGAAACGCTCCCTCGCCTCGCACTTCACTCGGACTTTTCTCGAAAAAATTCAAGTGAGCGGTGGCACCGCCCTTCAACTACACTCGAGCCTCCCTTCATCGCAAAAGATGGCGGGTTACCCGGGTTATCGGAGTGATGCCGCTCGCAGGATCGCGTCTTTTGAGTTCGCTACTCGTGCGTGCGACCTTGTGTTCGGCGTTATGTACCCGCTCGGTCCGTCGGTGCCGCGGCGTAATCTATCGGACCGCCTGAACCCGATGGAGCTGTACAGTGACCGCCAGTTCCTCGCGAGATATCGCTTTACGAAGACGACGGTGAGGGAACTCCTGGCGCTGCTGCCTCTCCAGCAAACCGGCGACAACCGAGGACTGCCGCTCACCCCCCTGCTCCAGTTGCTGGTCACCCTTCGCTTTTACGGCGCCGGGACCTTCCAGATGGTAGCGGGAGACCTGGTGCATGTCTCCCAGCCGACTGTCTGCCGCACAGTGAGGACGGTGACGACGCTCATCGCGAGGGTGCTCTTCCGAAGGCTGGTGCACTTCCCGGCTGCGTCGGAGTACCACGGCGTTATGCGCGACTTCTACGCAATGGGGCAGTTTCCTGGCGTCACGGGTTGCATCGACTGCACCCACGTGCGCATCAGAAGCCCCGGCGGAGATGATGCGGAAGTTTATCGCAATAGGAAAGGAGTCTTCTCCCTGAACGTCCAGGTGAGCTCATATTTCTTATACCCCCTTTATTGACGTAGCTTGCCTACTAAACTGCCAGGCTGGGAAGCATGGGTAATGCTCACGCAAAACGATTTCAGCTGTTCAACCCGATCATTGTAAAACATAGGGAAACCCTTTCATCAGCTGTGTTGTTGCTGCTTATTGTACACCTCTGGGCCCGCTCGAAATAGCCATTGCACAGCCTATACCTAGCTTGCATATGCGACGTTATTTACGGGCAACAGGCACGTAGCCAGCCCCGGGGGGGGGGGGGGGGGGGGGGGGGGGGGGCAGTTGTTTCACTTGTTTTCGAGCATGAGCCAACTGGCCCAAATTGCCGTATTAATGCAATGTTATATACCTGCAGGCCATCACCGGCCCACAGCTACAGTTCTTTGAGGTTGTGGCAAGTTGGCCAGGATCTGTGCACGACAGCCGCATCTTTGATGGCAGTCGTGCGCGTGCCCTTTACGAGGAGAGCAGAGTGCCCGGCGTCCTGCTGGGGGATATGGGCTATGCCTGTCTCCCTTTCCTGATGACGCCGCTCGCAAACCCTGGAGCGGCAAATAGTCCCGGAGGGAGGTAAGCCAAATCATCGGCAGAAGTATAAGATTTGTTTTGGTACTGCACTGACAACATCACTAATGTCTGTAATAGCAGGCAGTCATTGCCGGTGACAAACAGTTCTTCAAGCGTTTCATGGACAGATCACTTCGCCGATATCCAATGTTCTTTCCTACCTTGCCGAACCCTTGGCGGTTTCGACAAGGCTTGGTGCAAGCTCGAACTTGAGATTATTTTAGCACCGAGATGTTTCAATGGCGCCCTGTTATGGTTTCCATCCGTGACGTCACGAGTGGGATTTGCCTCGACGTGACGTCACCAGTTGTTATCCTGTCTACTTACCATCAGGTGCGACGACGACTTCGGTGGTGTGTTTAAAAAGCACAGTGGAAGCTAGGAGTCATTGCAATCCGAAAGTAACACCGTCAAAGCTGACAATCTGACAATGCTCATATGCCCACGGTTTGGCCAATCGTCGAAAGCTGACCGCAGCGGCGCTTTTGGTCGCGCACATCGCTAATGAACCATTTCCCCTAGCAGAGCGGAGCAAAGCGAGGTGTGATCGTGTGGTCTGTTTAAGACATAGCTTGCCCCGCCGTCGGTGGTTCATTCACTAAAAAGTAAATTCAGTCTAATTTTTCTTTTTCAGCATTAGGCAAATGAAAAAAAAAACATAAGATTTGACGACCGCGACCACTAAATTCAATCCACCTAGCAGAAGAAAACGTTTGTCGACGAAATGTCGTAAGAACGAAAAAGTTTCCATGAGATGTCAACAGTATCATGAAGCCGTGCGTGCACGAAAAGTTGTCAATAAAACATATCTAACCTCGACAAAAGAATGTCAACCTGTTATTTCCATACTGAAAAAGAAAATACAGTGATTGCAAGTATGTTCCCAGATGCCTAAAAATCGATCACATGCCTTATAATTTGATTTAGGTACAACAAGGCCCAGATCCGAACGAGGAACTCCGTCGAGAGGGCCTTTGGGGTCTGGAAGAGACGATTTCCCTGTTTGGATATGCGGCTCCAGCACAAGACTCGCCACTCATGCAGCATCATCACCGCGTGTGCGGCTTTGCATAATCTGGGACGTGCAAGAACTGAGCCCCTACCTCCTCCTCCACCCCCGCCACCAAGTCCCAGGGCACGGAATGCCAGAAGGCGGCGGCAGCCACACCTGCCACCGATTCTCCCGGAGGACTCTCCTTCGGGTCTGCGTATCCGGCAGAACATCATTCTGCTGAGCTTTACGTGAGCTGCACGTAGGCTCAAGAGGCCCATCACACAGGCCATGAAGGTGAGGAGTCGTACTTCCAAGTGTGTGATACTTCAGTTTGACTTTAAAAGTGAACCATCAGTAAAGCAGGCATAGCAGTTTGAACATGATTTATTGTGCAGCCTTCTGGCTCAGCTCCTGCAGCAGTATGTTTTCCTTGATACACAGGAGCTTCATCTCCATTTCGTGAATGGCATTTCTTTTTTTCAGCTCGTCCTCGCGCAATTTAATTTCCATTTCATGCAGCGCAGCTCTCTTGCTGAGTGCGTCGCGGTGGTCCTGTTCAAGGAAGTTGCAGCGCAGGGCATGCTCCTGCTGGACAAAGGCCATCCTCATATCGTTTTCCTCTGCGAGGCTCCTTTCCAGCAGCGCCATACGTCCTCCGACCTGGCGGGCACCACTGCCCACAGCTGCTGCCGCACTACCACTGTTGCACGCTGCAGCAGCCGCAGGTGTAGGAGCTGGTGACCCTGCAGTAGATGTCTGGCTAATCAGGCAAGCTGCTGGGGCTGCTGCAGGTCTATCAGCGATGCAGGCAGCCGCTGGTGACAGTGGTGCACCGACGTCTGAGGCAGGCCCAGCTGGTGAACCGGGCTCCTCTGCAATTGAAAGAACACGTAGAAGTTATGAAGTGAACAATGGGACATACATGAAGAGTAGAAAGGGTTTTTATAAGTTTGAGATTGTATTTTTGTTTTTCATGCAGTTGCAATTTGAAGTATTTGATTTTTTTTTTCTGCTGCTGATCTAATGTGTAACAATGTTTTCATCCATTTTGAACCTGTGCCATAAACTAGGCCACTAGATCACTTAACCGTTTCCACCTTTTGGAGTGCTTGGTATAGATATTTCTTGGCAGAAATCATGCTATGATTATTTTAATACCCTGTGCTGTTTGTTTCTTTGTCAGGGGAGTATGGTCATTGTTAGTCTGCAGTAGTTGCCATGTACTGTTTTGAAGCTGTATGGAACCCAGCCCTGCAATGATATATGTTACCTTGTACATAAGTAATGTACATGCTGTTCGCACCATTTGTTCATTTTTACTAAATAATCTTGAAATTGAATGTTGTCATGCACACTTTTTACTTTGTTATTGACGACACAGTCATCTGCAACAAGATTAATATTAGATGAGATGGTTGCTGCAAGGTCATTCATGATTATTAAAAAACGTAGGGGTGCCAGTATGTACTACTGAGGAACACCAGGTGAAACATTTCTGAAGGCAGACTCATTATGATCTATAACCGTATCCATGCATATCCATGAGAAGATCAGTGGGTAAAGACGAAAAGGTATCAGTTTAGAAAGTACAGGTCAAGACATGGAAACGGTTCAAGCATTCTACCCAAGTCGGCATCAAGAGGGTCCTCCTCGCCGTCCAGCATCGGCTGCAGTAGTCGGAGAACTGGGAGGCTGCAGACCGGGGGCAGATAGGGTGCCCCATCGCTGTCCTCCATATTTTCCTGTCTGTTGAACACGTGTGAGGCCACCGCCCCAACCAGCACGGAGGTGGCGCTCATTGGCTTGCCAGGTGGCCCCCCTCCTAAAGGAGCAAACAGTAGTCAATCTAGGCACTCCAAGTTCTAATGTTATCTAAGATCTGTTTTCCTTTTTAAATATACCCCGATTTATAGGCATGCATTTGCTGATAGGGAATGTTCATCCCCTCTGCCCCATGCGTAATGAAATGAAATATTGAGCATCTGGGTGTTGTCAGTTGTGATCTACTGTACATGTCCGCCGCAAAAACTGCAAGTAGAATTACTGATTTAACGGTAGTATTATATCGTGCTGCGGTTCCGTTCATGCTGCTCCATTGTCAGGTTACTACGGTATTCAACTGACAGCATTAGGTTGCATAACCGACTTGTCTGCGCACGTTCACGCTCCATCCCCCATGACAGGTATTCCAGAAACAACAGTTCGAAACAAGGGCGAATTTGTGACCGACAGTTCGGGCTACAAATGTGACCCATCGCTCATTCCGAGGCACTTTCAGCGCGATGAGAAACCTGAACGAGAGACTTGCCTGTTTTGTGGACCTTGTTTTTTTCTTTGGAATGGTCCTTCTTCGCTTTGGCCTTCACATTTTCCCACCATTTTTTTAGCTGTTTCACGTCCCGTCGATATACACCGTGGTTGCAGTTATACTCGTTGCAGAGTCGAATCCAAGTTGCCTTTTTTTTGTTTAACGACGATTCGTCGGTCTTTTTACATTCGATGATTTTTTTGTACGTCATTACAAGTTCCATCAGTATTGCCTTTTCGATCTCTGTGAACCGCGCAGCGGGTGCCTTGGCCTTATCCATTACACGCTACGGAAATGAAAACTTTAAAAGAACAAACCAGCAGGGCAAGTAAACACGAAAAGGCAACGGCGGTGGTGGCGTTGGAACAAGGATATCGGAAGGACTTGGAATGTATTCAGCATGGATATTGATGGCTATATTGCTGGCCAATTTAGTTTGAAAGAAGATGCACGAGCTACGTTTTTTTCTGAAATCGCAACATGTTTGTTATGTGCTAATATTTCTTTATAAACACAAATTATGTAAACACACTAAGAATTAACTTACTTTTGTGGTCTTACGCAAAGTATAAATATAAATTTCTTTTCTACTCTCGCTCCCGGACGCATCCCGTAGAAGGGCTCCCTTCACTTGCTCGAGTGAAAGCGAAGTGCCATTTCAGAATGGTAAACCTCACTTCAAGTGGAAGTGCCCCTTCAACCGCCCTTCTGTAAGTGAAGGGTCGCCCTTCACTTGGCATGACTCGGAGTGACATCTATGAATTCGGCGGAGTTTCCCTTGTTTGATAAGGAGCACGTCCCTGCCCTTCTTGAACAGCCGCTCATCTGGCGCGCTGGATGGGACTGCTGTGTTGTGTCGCAGGAACAGGCTTTAGATTGCCGGGCAGACGTTGAGGCAATAGAATGTCGTTTCCTGCTCTGAAGTTGTTAGTAACCGCCTACGCCACAGCAAAATACTCTCTGTACGGCGGCCACGGTAGTCCTTCTTTGTTGTCATCAACATTCATATCCTTGGCAGCACAGGCATATTGCTGGCTCGTTGATGGTTGCGCTGGGTTCATGGAGTCCCTGGACATATTTCAGTTCGTACCCGGCGAGCCAGAAACAAACCCCGCGTAAACAATAGTAACTTTTGCCTCGACTGCTGACACTACGCCGGAGTAGTTCCGCAAATCAAAATACAAAAAATTCGCAGTGTCCTCCGCGTGTATTGTTGTTTCACGGTTAATTCACACGATTAAAAGCGTTTGCGCAGAAAAAAAAAACGCAACAGAGATAGGGCTTCAAGATACTATGATGCAATTGTTCAGTCACAAAGTACAAGAGCATGCGTAAAGATAACTGGATATTTTTTTCATAAAATCTACACGTGGCTATATTCGGGTCGTGACTCGCGAGAAAGAACGTATTCACAAGTTTGTGCAAAAATAACTTGACACTCGAAATGTCGGAAGAGACAATTTGGAAAGCGCAAATAATTTTAAATTGTACTCGTTCAGTGGTATAATATTTATAAAAAAACTGGAAAGTAACGAGAAAAGTAACGTCGTTACTTTCATCGTTACCTCAGAAACAGTAATAGAACTACAGTTACAAGTTACATTTTTAAAAAGTAACTCGTTACAGTTACAAGTTACCAAAAAAGTAACGAAGTTACAGTAACGCGTTACTAGTAACGCGTTACTACCCAAGACTGAAGACAAGGCTGTCGCAATGATGGCATCACGCAGCGTCTCCTGGTTTGAGTAAGCATCGCCACCAGCGCGCCTTACAGCGTCTCCCGTTGAGCGTGACGATATCACACAGCGACGCCAAGACGGACGCGTCTACCCCTTTGCGGCGGCTCTCGTGAGCTTCGGTGAGTTTGCCGCTAGAGGCGGGTCGGGCGGTCCACTAACGATGATGACGTCATGCGCGAACCTCGTCTTCTGTTGAGCAGACGCGACGTTGTCAAGGCAGCGCTGAGAGCACTAAACAACCTGAGTACCATTGATCCATGCGCGGAATGGTCATCCGTTTCGCGCATAAAGGATGGTTGACACACTCGCGACTGTGTACACGGCCGAGTGCCTCGTGATCTCTTACGACAAGAGAACACACTGGTACGCTGGCGCCATCTATGAGGAGAAACTGGAACTGCATTTCACCGGGGAAAAGGTTTCGCAGTATTTTCGAGATCAAATGTATACCTACCATCCACGAGAAACGGTCATTTAAACTAACCCTGACCCGGAACTATTCCCAACGCCAACGGCGTGCCTTAAATCCCCCTTTTTTGTTTTCTGCTTCACATTTTGGTCGCCATGCCGCGCCATTTTTGCTGCACGCTTGAATGGACGCGAGCTACGAGCTTCTCCCATTCACAACTTTTCCGCTGGCCGGCGACGGCTCTGCTGGAGCTGAAAATAAAATGTAGAGGGTGAGGCAGCGTTAGGGCCGGCACATTTGACAGGCCTCGCAGAATTCGAATTCCAAGCGTACATACCTGAAACTAGGCGCGCGAACGTCGTTTCGCAAGAAGTTTTATGTCCAGTTATTTTAGAGCTCAACTCAGAGGTGGCAAAATATTAAAAATAAAGCAAAAAATAAAAGACGTTCACAAATCTCTGTAACGCGAAATTAGAGCGCAGCTCTTGAGGAGGTGGAAGAGGAGGGGAGGGTACGGAGGGGACGGTATGCCCCTCTTCCTCCTCCTCTCTTTCTCCCCTTTTTCTATGCTCCTCGTCCTCCCCTCCTTTCCTTCTCGTCTTCCTCCTCTCCGGCTTCTTCCTTTTTTCCTCCTCCTCCACTTCTTTCTCCTCTCCCCTCCTCATTTCCTCCTTCTTTTCCGTACTTTCCCTCCTCCTCCTGCGTACCTTCCCATCCTTCTCCTCCGTACCCTCCCCTTCTCCTCCTCCGTACCCTCCCCTCCTCCTACAGTTTCCCCACTAAATTTACATGAAAAATTAACGCCATGTGACCTCAACACCAATTCAGTTTCCTCGCTAAATTTAGTGGGGAACTGAGTTGGTGTTAAGGTCACGTAGCATCAATTTTTCCGCTACATTTAGCGGAAAAACTGAATTTCTTCATACGTGACGGGATAAAATCATCTAACATAATTTTTCGCGCTAAATTTAGTGGTGAAACTGAACTGGTGTTGAGGTCACGTCACGTTAATTTTCCCGCTAAATTTAGCGGGGAATTGAATTGCCGTCGAGGTCACGTGACGTCAATTTTACCGCTAAATCTAGCGGAGAAACTGAATTTCTTCATAGGGGACGTGACACTAAGCCATATGACGTCATTTTCTCCGCTAAATTTAGCTGGGAAACTGGATTGGTATTGCGGTCAAGTGACGTCAATTTTCCCGCTAAATTTAGCGCGGTTACGCCGACGCCGACGGCAACGCCGACCACGCGAAGCCTGGAAGCATCGCCTAAGAGCTGCGCTCTAAAACAAAGGCCACGTTTTTTTTTTTTTTTTTCATTATCGTGTTTGCTAGCAAATAAATGTCGACACGACACTCCGGACAGCTACCGCCATCTATGAGCGACGGCGGCAACCAGGCAGCCGGCTTGCCGGTTGTCTGGTTGCCACCGTCGCTCATAGATGGCGGCGACCTTTCCAGCCTTTCCATTCTGGCTCGCCGACTTGCGGCCGGCCATTGTACAGCTTCGCTGGGTTTCCTTCACCAGAGTGGAAAGGCTGAAAGGTTTTTTTTATGTCCAATTTCAGCCTGTTGGTCGTCTGCTCACTGGTGTGAGATCTCGCTTTCTGGTGACTTGCTGAACGCAAAGACGCCGAAAACACCTAGTAGAGGATGGCGACGAGCAGCATAATCGCGATCAGCAATAATTTTAGCGAAATATATGAACGATTACTATTTGAGAGCAGGGTCGCAAACCAGTGTACAGACAACGAACATCCGATATATGGATATAAAAAATTCACGGCCGCAGATTCGTCGGTATCTTTCATAATTTACCATCTCTGAGTTGAGTTGGTAAATTATGAGTTCGTAAATCGCGTGTCGTGCTTCAGGTACATGTACGATTACAATTCGAATTTTGCAAGGCGAGCCAGATGTGCCGGTTCTTACGGCTTCACCCTGTAATCAAACGAGACCAGCTTGCAGCGCAGTTTGTGGAGACGGATATGACATACAAAAGGACGGTGATGCCTCCGCCAGCGTCTTCATACGAACAGGCATATGGTATGGAAGAAATAGGCGCACAGGCTCACAGAGGTTTCCTGTAGCGTCTTGTTCAGATTTAATGCGTCCAATGACTATATGTCCCAGATAATAATAATAATATGATAAAAGCTAATGAACGTGGTGCTGTGAAACTTCGCACAAAAGGATCTTTAGGTGTGTGTATTTGGCATACCCAAATTCTGTAAATGTATCCTTTTGCAGAAAAAAAAAGTCATCTTGTTTTTTTTTGTTTTTTTTTTTTTTTGATGCGCGGTAGGAAAATTGAAACAAACCGTCGAGTTGACAGTGTTAGTCAAATATGGCACCCGATGGTACAAAAACATGAAAGATTCTTAGGGATGAACACCATATAAAGCAGATCCAGAATACAGATCCGAGCGTGTGCAGAACGATAATTGAGCAGCAGTGTTATCCAGACGGTTTGTTCACTTTTTTTTCCTCACCGCATAATAAATATCACGTTTCTCTTTTACTTTTTTTTTTGCTTTTTTTTTTAATTTACATTTACGAAATTTCAGTATGATAAACTTTGTTTACTTGCTCACTTATACGGTTTTACTTTTCCCAACGGAATAGTGCGCTGGAACTCCCTGTACAGATTTGATTGTCGGGAAGCTTGGCGATCTAATAATAGCAGATCCTACGCGGAGCGCAATTTCGTCTGCTTCCTTTGCAGAGGTTGCAGTGACATCAGGACGCCAAGTTCTGATTGACTGTGATTGGACGATAGTGAGTAGAGCTCAAGGCGGCTTGCTCTGAGGTCTACCCCCTATCCTTCAATCCGAGCCAATCAGAGCGCTCGGCGTTCTGACGTCACCACAACCCATGCAAAAGAAGCAGACGAACTTACGCTTCGCACATACAAATCGGCGACATCGAAGGAGAGTCATGCTTAGAGCCAGGAAGATTCGCGGGTGTTAGTAACATCGCGTTTACCTTCGTACGAGATGGTCCGCAGGAGGTCCCAGAAATTGTCATGGAATTCTCGGAGGTACTTGTGCTTATTCCTGGCTCGCCGCGTCTCGATCGCGGCGAGGAGAGCGGACAGGATCGGGATGGACACGAAGAGAATCGCCCAGACCTGTGGTGCCCAAAAGGGCGGGTGCGAGCTTTTAGTTAAAACCTGCGCCTCACAGAGCAGTCACGCGACAAACTCGATATGGGCAGTTCGATCCCCACCCCTGCCCGTTTCGATCTGGATGAGCATCGTACTGGCGTGCGGCAGTGTATCGCTACAGCCTGGTGCACGTTAAAGACCCCAGGCTAGCGGTTGTACTGCACTGGCCACATTTCTCATCTACAGCTGGGAGACAAGTTGCCCGTTGAGGCAGAGACTAAGTTCTAGGCTGTTTAAACATACACACATCCCAGTTATTATTTTTTTTTATATGGGCACTTTAGGCCTTTTGTTTCGAGCGCTGCCCCTCTACGCCAATATTGCGGTGGCGCGTGTGCTATCCAGATGGGACATCGTACGATTTGCGAACCGTCTCGTAATAGGAACCCAGCACGGTAAAATAGTGTTCACCTGCACCTTCGGTGTTCTCCCTCCATCTTAGCGCAATCGGGAGAACAAAGTCCGAGTCCGAAATAAAAAAAAAAAAGGATATATAACCGAATAAATGTATATTTTGCACCCTGTACACCCCCAAGCTGACAGTGCGATGAGATCTACGGACCAGACATCCGCCTCCCTTTCATTGCCTGGCCCCGCTTTCTGGGCCGCGAAGGGGGGGGGGGGGGGGGGGGGGGGAGAGTGATCACGTGACAAAAGACAGGCTTATGGCTGGTCCAAAAGAGCACCTAGTTTCCACCGCACTTTCAGCTTAGGAGAGAACGCTACTTCGGAGACAATTGACAAATGATCTACTGTATACATATCATCCTTGCTAACGTATATACTCGAAGAAATGCACCTCCTAGGAGCATCGGAGTTGCAGATGAATCTCCGATACATCTTGCTCTGGACATCAGCGGACGCTACAAACAGTAAGTAAATTGGTGTGTGTATGTTTATACAGCCTAGAACTTAGCCTGCCTCAACGGGCGACTTGTCTCTGAGGTGTAGAAAAGCAATTTAGCGAGTCCGGTACAACCGCTAACCTTGGTTTCTAAGGTGCCCCACGCAGCAGTGATACACGACCAGATGCCGGTATGATGTTCATCCAGATCGAAACGTGCAGGGGTGGGGATAGAACTTAGGGTACCTGGGTTCTGCAGCGCACGCTACGAACAACCCCAGCTATTTTAGTGCCGTGGACGTATCGCGTGACTAAGCACTTCCCCCGCATCGCTGCGTCCCTCTCCGAGGTCACGTGAGACTCACACGGCTTATTGGATTGCTTCCAACGTTCAGCTTCTTCTTGGCTTCTTTGCGAGACGATTGTCTTCCATATTCTGAGGCTTCAATGAGATTCTTTCTCAAGTTCTTACCAGCTTCTGCTACTTCGTGATTTGCTTTAGTAACGTGAGCACCCTCGAGGGGTGCCTTGCAGCTCTTTCCACGAGCCCCTAAGCCGCCGTCAACTTCACTCAGGGGCGTAGGCGGGGGGAGGGGGGGGGGGGGGGGGGAAGGGGAGGCTTATCGGGCTTTAGCCCCCCCCCCCCCCCCCCCCCCGAAATCCAACCGACCGTATAATATACACATGCATTTGGACCCCCTCTCAGCACCCGAAGTCACGGAGAT